CTGGCCTGTCTGCTGTTAACTCTTTGATTGTGCCCTCAGCCCACTGCTTGGGGTGCTTCTGTGTGCCCCCGTTCTTGGAACGTGTGAACACAACCACTTGACACGTCTGCTCTGGATGTTCTAACCCTAACTACTTCACTATGTGTGACTTGTGGACTGCGGCCTCTAACCTCAGCCTAAGCCTCGTGAGGGAGGGCAGAGGTCTCTGTTTGCTTGGTTGCTGTATTCTCTGTGCCTAGAATCGAGTGTGGCACGCTAAACGTGGTCATAAATACCGTGTAAAGAACGTGCATATTGGTAAGCATGCAGCTTGCTGGGGATTTGTTGTTACGATCTTGTGTCTCTCTCGGTAGGACAGCGCAGGGCACTGCACCCAGATCAGTAAGCGCTGTTTTGCGTTTATCTGCCTGCTTTACTTTGTGGAACAGTAGGCTATGGTGGGCTGCAGTTTGGGGGCTTGTCTAACATTTCCTGCATTTGCTTCTGCCGCGGGCTGGAAGCAGCCCCCATGTGCAGCAGTGTGCCCTGGGAACAGGCTGACTGCAGGTGCTGGCCTGCAGCTAGAGCGCCTAGGCTGCTCTTCATGCTCAGACAGGCTGCGGATTGTGTTCTTCGGCTTTCTCATCTGTGAGATGGAAGGAAGAACACCTACTTCATTCCTCTTTTAGAATGAATATGCTGATACACGCTAAGTTCCCAGGACACTGACACAGAGAGCGGAGTGGATGTGGGAGACTAACAACGACATGAAAAAGATTACACAAAATTCGTATTTTACAGAAGAGACTATGGGGCTGAGCGATGACTCCGTGGGTAAAAGCACATATTGCTGTCCTAGAGGACCTGGGCTTGGTAACTCCAGCTCCAGGAGGATCTGATGTCTCTGGCTTCCTCAAGCACCTGCACTCATGTGTGTACACACACACACACACACACACACACACACGCACACACACACACACACACTTAAAAATAAAAATTTTTTTTTTTTGTTTTGTTTTTCGAGACAGAGTTTCTCTGTGTAGCTTTGCGCCTTTCCTGGAACTCACTTTGTAGCCCAGGCTGGCCTCGAACTCACAGAGATCCGCCTGGCTCTGCCTCCCGAGTGCTGGGATTAAAGGCGTGCGCCACCACCGCCCGGCAAAAATAAAATATTTTAAAAATATAATTGATATATTGAGGCTGAGAATGTAGTTCTGTGTTAAGAGTGCTTACCCATGCCGGGCGGTGGTGGCGCACGCCTTTAATCCCAGCACTCGGGAGGCAGAGCCAGGCGGATCTCTGTGAGTTCGAGGCCAGCCTGGGCTACCAAGTGAGTCCCAGGAAAGGCGCAAAGCTACACAGAGAAACCCTGTCTCGAAAAACCAAAAAAAAAAAAAAAAAAAGAGTGCTTACCCAGCATTTATAAGGCCTTGGGTTTGATCCCCAGCACCAAGAGAAAGAGGGAGGGGGAAGGGAAGGAGGGAAGGATAGAAGGAAAGAAATAATGAAATGTTCAAGAAATTTTGCACTAGTTTTTGGCAACTGGCCAGGCAGTAGAGAAGAGTAAGCTGGACATGGGAAAAGCAACATCACAGAATGGACCACAGGCCATCTACAGTTCAGCTAGACATTCTGTTCTTGACTGTACATTGCCTGACAAGAAAGTCGGTGTCTTTGTTGAACAGGAGCTGTTGTTAGGAAATCCTGTGCTGATCTGAAATCCACCTCTCCTGTGTTTATACTAGCCCTGGCTCTTCTTCCACAGTGACAGAGCGGCTGGTGGGTGGTATTGCTCCAGTAGTGTCCCCTCAGCTCACGTGGCACATGTTTCCTGGAGTCCTCCTCCAATGGCATGACATGTGAGCCATTTATCATCTGGTCATCGTTCCTCCGTATAGTTCATTCAACAGTGTTTCTGTAAAACACACGGGGCCCAGAGCCAGTAATGGATGGGATCTCAATCACTTAGTCCCATAGTGCCAGAAGCCGCAATGGCAAATGCAGGTACTATTTGCATTTGGGGACAGGCTGTGCCAGTCATTGACTGCAAGCTATAAATACTTGATTCATCACCCAGAGCCTCCTTTCCTTCAGATAGAATGACTAGGCATTACTCATAAAAGATCCTGAAGGAAGTTGTCTTAATTTGAATAATTGAGAAATTAGTAAAACGCTAAGTATTTTGCTTTAATGAAAAAAGTATGCCAGCCTCCATACTATCAAATTCTTGCTAATTCTGACCTTAACAACGGGTGCACAAATCTAAGGAAAGACTTCGAGATCACCCTGTAACATTCCAGCCTAGTGTTAGGTGTAAGTCATGACGTCCCAAGAGGTAGTCTTAGTTTTATTGCTTGAAAGCTGTCCATTTCATTAACATGTGCAGTTGGTCGGCGGCCTCACTCCGGCACACAGTATTTATATTGCCTGCTCCTGTTCTAATTTACGTTTGTTAGGAGGACAGTTGCTGCCCTTTTTTACTGATGATTTTTTTTTGGCTTCACTAGGTTTACCGCTCTCTCTCATCTCCATCTTGATTTGATTTGGCCCTCACTGGGGGAGTTCATCTCTGTGGGGATGTACTGGGCAGGACCTTCAGGGTCTCACACCCACTTCTCCTCCTCTGTACTGAAAGGCTTTTTCAGTGGTTCCTCTCTACCCCAGCATTCTTCTCCATGGCAGCAGGGAGGGTCGTCCAAAATGCAGGTCACATTATGCTAATCCATGCTCTTTTTCATAAAGGCCAAACTCAGCTGCTGCCCATTTCTTCAGGCTCTTCATTCAGTCACATTGATGACTCGCTTTCCCCCCTGGACTGGATGCTCAGTGAGGGCAACACATGCATCTTCATCCCCTGCCCTGAAACCACACTGTGATCAGACAAGCTATATAATCACTGCTCACAGCTACTTTCTTAGAATTCCATGATTCCTGCTTCTTTGAGACAAAGACGGGGCATTTCCTTCCTCTTGGTGTGCGTCAAGTCTCCCTGTTATGTGGACATTTATGTGAAAGGAAAATCTGAACTTCATTTTAATTTGGCAAGTCTCAAATTACAAAGGCTTGCGAAGGCTTGGTAGGAGCAGATAGGTTGGTTTCTGTTGCTGCCTGTTGCTGCTTTGTTTCTAGAATACTCTAAAATGACCACAGAGTTCCCAGGGATTGGCTTGAATGTGGCTTGTAAGCCGTGGCCTAGCCATGTCGTAAAATGTGATCTGAGGCAGAGCTTGATTTATATTGGCTGAGGTTGGGTTGTGTCAGTATGCCAGAAGTTTGCTCACCTTAAGAGTCGGTTTTAATATGTGCTATCTCAACTGCAAGGGCCTACGAAGCATTCAGCCAGCCCTACTGTTAGACTGCCCATGGAAGTAAATCTTTGTCATCAGGTCACCAGAACACTGTTTGGCTCTTCACCTAGTGGCTCAGAGGACCAGAGCATCTGCCAAAGGAGCCATTTGGTTCCCTTTGGGTACTGCGTGTGCCTCTCTGTTTATCTCTCAAGTACAACCGGAGAAGTCCATCGTGTTCTGCTGTCTCCTCATCGTGACCCTTTGCCTTTCATTTTTAGATCAGACAGAAAAGGGGCCGATGCCCTGGACACGGCATGGCTCTGCTCATTAAAGCTGTTGCTGTGGTTGAAATGTCTGAGAATAATCGGAGCATTTCCACATTCACCTCCTCAGCACTGAATGAATCCTGGCAGAGCCCAGGAGCTCATAGAGCGGTAGCCTAGAATTCTTTTTTCCTTTTTTTTTTTAAGCCACAATATTAGTAAAAGAATTTAAGGTAGATCAAACATTTCCTTAGGTCTTAATACTATGAGTGAAACAAGGTCCTCTGGGCATGAGCCTGGAAGGTACTGAGCAGAAGAAAGAGGCGGGAGAGATGAGAGGGAGTTTGGACGTTGTTACAGCATGGGATACCATGATGAGCAGTTCTGTGATGGGGCCCAGAGAGCTGTCCTGACGGAGACCACAAGTCCCAAGTGGTGGCCTAGAGTGGCAAAGGAAGGCTCTGGAAGTGCAGGAAAGTCCCAGCTCCATCTTGCCTGGAGCCTTTGTTCTGAAGTGTGAAGCAACGCAGTCAGCTGTGAGCTAGGATAGCCGTAGAAACATGTTGCTTTAGGAAGGCAGGAAGGCCTGAGCCACATTTTCTGCCCCAAATGTACTGGCGAGTCAAGTCGGACTTAGCCCTACACTTAGTCAAAAGGCTGAGAAGCATTTAGCTCCTTGGCTTTTCTGAGGCCCAATTTCCTTATCCATAGAAAAGGAGAAGCAGTCTGTGGTGTGGGGCTGGCACATCAAGTGAGATACTGTGTGAGGTATTCTGCTGTAAGGCAAGTGCACAGTAATGAATTTTCTTCTTGCACGTCACTTGTCTGTTTTCTAGCAGAGGGGCAAATCCTTTGTATCCAGTGAGTCAGGGGCAGGCTTCTCCAGACCGCTGGATCCAGTAAGGGTTAGCAAGGTCCTACCTGCAGCTGTCTCCAAGAATGTAGATGTGAGGATGGTCTACTTCGGATGAATTAATTGGGTAGGATGGCATCGAAGCAACCAGACGATACTATTTTAAATAGTAAGAGAAAAATATATTGTTTTTCGAGAAAGGGTTTCTCTGTGTAATAGCCCTGGCTGTCCTGGAACTCACTGTGTAGACCAAGCTGTTCTTGAATTTACAGAGATCCACCTGCCTCTGCCTCCCGAGTGCTAGGATTAAAAGTGTGTGCCACCACGTCCTTCATAAGAAAATATTTTTAAAGAGATTACTCTGGGCTGGGAAGGTAGCTCAGTACTAGGGTGCTTACTCAGCATGCATAGGCTCTGGATTCCATCCCTGGTCCCTGCTGTCTGCATACACAGACACATAAACACATGGACACACATGCACATGCACATATACATACATATACATGGACACACATGTATACACATGCACATACAGTCACATTGTGTGTTGAAAACCTAATGATATCAAAGTTATTTTGTTACTGACCATAACCTTTTCATTCCTACCTCCAGGGAAGGAAAAACATGCAAGACGGTGCAAGTGACGGTGACATCCCCAAATTTGACGGCGCTGGATACGATAAGGATCTGGTGGAAGCCCTGGAGAGGGACATTGTGTCTCGGAACCCTAGCATTCACTGGTGAGAGTCCTGAGTTACAGTAGAGAAGAAAACAAGTCATAAGGCTGGGTTGTGTGGCTCTTCCCTCCTCCCCATCGATCTCCCGATAATGCCTTGTCTGTAATAACAGTTCTGTCAGAATCCAACAGAGGAACGTGACATTTCATTTGTTGTTGACATGCTGACAAAGTTTGCTAACTGCATAATGTGTTCTAATTAGTGACCCAGTGTGTTTTCACTGGCCATTTTTAATAGTAAGAGTTAGAATACAGCCTTACTATAAGATAATTTTATGAGTCAATAAATTTAAAGTAATTAGCTGTGGCCATAAATCAGAGGTGTCTCTGAGTAAACGTGCAACTGTTCTCTCAAAGGGATGACATAGCAGATCTGGAGGAGGCTAAGAAGTTGCTCCGGGAAGCTGTTGTCCTTCCCATGTGGATGCCTGACTTTTTCAAAGGGATTCGAAGGCCATGGAAGGTGAGCGTGTCTGACAGTCTTGAAGTGGGGATGCTTCATAACAAAGGGCAGCCTGCTGTGGATCTGTCTGTTACCAATGTTGGTACGCTGGGCAGCTCACATCCCCTCCACACCTGCTTGTGAATTTGTAGTGAGATGTGCTGCAACCACATAGCAAGAGAGATAGGCTTAGAGCAGTGAAGCTACCATCTTCCAAGTCATGTGTTTTCAGTTGCTGAGCTAGAGGTTAATTTTAAGAACTTTTGGGTGTCTATTTCTGTAAATAAAAAGTTAAACAAGTTAAATTATGTGTATCTCTGTGTCTGTGTATGTGCATGTGAGTGCAGGTGCCTGCAGAGGCCAGAAGAGGGCATTGGATCCTCTGGAGCTGGAGATAAAGGTGGTTGTGAAATGCCTTATGTGGGTGCTGGAAACTGAGCTCAGGTCCTCTGCAAGAGTAGCACATTCTCTTTACCACTGAGCCATCTTCCCAGCGCCAGCAGGGTCGTTCTAAGTAGTCCACAGAATTATAGGATTGTCTCCCCTTGAGTTCAGGAAAAAGGGCTCTTTGCTGCCACGGCTTCTGTTTCCTCTCCCCTTTCTTCCTTCTCCCCTCCTTTTTCCCTCCTTACCTTTTGTTTTACCAGACAGGATCTCTTCTGTGGTCCACACTAGCCTCCATCTCTGAACACTCCATGTACACTACCCACGTGCCAGGATTATGGGTGTGAGCACCATACCTGCTCAGCCATTTTTTATGAGCTTATCTCTGGCCATTTCTGACCTGAAACACCTGGAGAAATCACTTTTATCATCTTCTTGTTGCTCTTGCTAAATACACTAGTCACACCATGACAACCGAGTTTATATTTTGCTGGGGATCCTCATGTACACCAGCGTGATCAGTTGATGATAGTTTATGAAAAACATTTAAATCCAGTATGTTGCTTGATTCCTCTTTGGATTTTCAGGGTGTGCTGATGGTTGGACCTCCAGGGACTGGGAAAACCATGCTAGCTAAAGCGGTTGCCACTGAATGTGGGACAACCTTTTTCAATGTCTCCTCTTCCACACTGACTTCTAAGTACAGAGGCGAATCTGAGAAGTTGGTCCGTCTGTTGTTTGAAATGGTAAGTGTGCTGTTTGTCTGTCTGGGCCTGTGGTTCGTCATACCCAGGTCTGCGCCCCTTGTAATCTTCTGAAAGAGTGGTGTGGGTGTATTGTGCTAGCTGTGGGCACATTAGTAGTAGTGGATTTTGTGGAATACTTGGTGTGTCTTCAACATATCTTTCTCTATGAGGTGAAAAAAGGCCCTTTAGCATCCTGTCCAATGAGGGTGATTGGCATTTTGGATGTCTAGTGCAGTGATGGACAGAAGACTTTTTAAAACCAGCTAGAGGTGCATCTGTCAGTAGATATTGATTTATTTAAAATTGCTTCCAGTAAGGTTTTTTTTTTTTTTTTTTTTTCTTTCCATGGTGGAATCTCTCATCCTAAAACTAGAAAGAATTGCCAGGGTGGTGCCACATGCCTTGGGAGGCAGACAAGTGGATCACTTGAGTTTGTGGCCTGTGTGGTCTATATAGCCAGGTCCAGGCCAGTCAGGACTACAAAGTAAGATCTGTCTCAAAATAATAATAACTAAAACATAGAAAAAATAGTGTCGAATCTCTGTGTATCTTTCACCCACTGTCACCAACTGTGTAGGTTTTAATTTTGGATTTTTTTTCCTAAAAAGATTATCAGGGACAAGACAGGGGTAGCACTTAATAAACAGAAATTGAAGCTTTCATTTGCTGCTATTTTAGAATGACTTAAAAATACAGAGTGCTTTATGAGATCGCTGAATGATTACTTTCAATGTTTTCACCAAGGCTAGGTTCTACGCCCCCACCACGATCTTCATTGATGAAATAGATTCTATTTGCAGTCGAAGAGGAACATCGGACGAGCATGAAGCAAGTCGAAGAGTCAAGTCTGAGCTGCTTGTCCAGATGGACGGTAACTGACATTTAAAGACTCTCCCCACGATCACTCCTTCCAGCATGGCTGGACTCAGGCTTTGTAAGTTCTCAGTGAGGATCAGGAGGCAGCTGGGAGTTCTTTTTAATCACTTGCTCATCCACCCACTTGTTCATGTATCTGGAAGTACTCATTGAGTACTCGCAGTGAACCATGTGCCAGTGTCCAGGTTCTAGGCTATGGAGCAAGGCACTACTCCAGCCACCAAGGGGTTTGCTGGCAGAGCCAAGGCTCTGAGGTGTGACTGGGAGTTCCTGGGCCTCCAGACCACCAGAGGGCTTCACAAGGGCTCCACAGTTTCAGTAGTAACATCAAGGCCCGATTACTGGTTGCTTTAATCTTCTCACAAGTCTGTAGTAGAGTATCCAGGGTCCACAGAACCTGCAGAGTCCCAGAGGGTGGAGGGCAGAAGCATGTGGGAGAGTGCAGCTGTTCTCTTACTCACTCGACGTCATACCATTTAAAAAGTCTTCTAGCCCGGCAGGGGTGGCCCATGGCTTTACTCCCGACACTCAGGAGGCAGAGGCAGGCTAATCTCTGAGTTCAAGGGCAGTCTGGTCTACAGAGTGAGTTCCAGGACAGCCAGGGCTACACAGAAAAACCCTGTCTGGAAAAACAAAAACAAAACAAAACAAAAAAAGGTCTTTAATTAAGACTTGGGAGGTTTTGAGAACTATGATTGTTTTTCATAAGATAAATCTTAATTAGATGAGTCATGGAGTCTTATTTTTACAATGAATTAATACTTGGAACATTCTATCTGTCTGTCTGTCTATCATCTATCATCTGTCTACTTATGGTGCTGGGCTAGAACTTGAAGCCTTGTGTCTGATGGGCAGGCACCACTGAGCCACTCCCCTGCCTGTCCATGTTTTGTTTCTAATGGAAAACACTGATAGACATACTCCACACTGTGATCGGGATTTTTAAGAGCATCAAAGGTCTTGAGACCAAAACCTTTGAGACCAACTGCTACGCCAAAGGCAAACAGCTGACCAGAAGTCACACAAGGTTCCTCTGTGGCAGAGGGAACTCTGGGTGTAGCAGTCACAGTGGTCAGGAGGGGAGGGCTGCCGCACGGGCGGCAGAGGACTTTGATACACGGCTGGAATTGTCTGGGCAAAGAGGAGAAGCATTTGGGGAGCCATGGGGAAAGGAGAGTTAGGGGCTTAGCTCTTCTTTAGACACATCTCAGTCTTGTAGTTGTGTGTAGACAACAGGCGGTCTAAGCAATCCACATGAAAAGATAAAAACATGTCTAAAATGTTCAGCACGTGCTGTTTTTGATCATCCACCAGTTGTGGACTCCGTGTCTTAGTTACTGTTCTATTGCTGTGAAGAGGCATCACGACCAAGGCAACTTTAGAAGAAAGCATTTGACTAGGGCTCGCTCATGGTTTCAGAGGGTTAGTCATTATTATGCTGCTGGGGATCCCAGCAGGCATAGTGCTGGAGAAACACTTGAGAGCTCACATCTGATTTGCAAGTTACAGGCACAGAGAGAGAGAGATGGAGATGAGACTCTGCCTGGCCTGGACTTTTGACACTGCAAAGCCCACCCCTAGTGACACATCTCCTCTAGCAAGGCCACACCTCCTAATCCTTCCCAAAAAGTTCCTGTAACTGGGGACCAAGCATTTAAACATAGGAGCCTATGGGGGCCATTTTCATTCAAAACACTACCCTTAGGATGGGTACTTAACATCACATGGTACACAATGCCAGGCACTGAGAGACCACAGTGGTGCTATGTGCTCGGAGACCTGTCCCTCAGTCAGTGTGCCATTTCAACTCTTGCTTATATATGAAAGGAAGGAATATGTTTTATTTGGGGGGAAAGCATTGCAGAAAACATGAGGTATTTAAAATTGGGGCCAGGGCATCACTGAATATACATTCAGCCGCAGGATTTCATTGAATAGTATCACTGCTTGTTAGATGGAGAGATTTATTCCTCATAAGAATGATTTAAAAAGACATTTAGTAATGATTTATTTATTATGCATGTTGCATTGGGCTGCTCAAAATATACTACTTTGATAAACGTCATGTTTGTGAGCTACCGTATGAATAACATTTCCTGTGTGTTGCCCAGAGCCAGTTGTACACTCTCAGAGGTGTTGTTGTTGTTGTGTTTTTAGACACGTTCTCTTTATTTTGTAGATCTAGCTGTTCTTGACTTGCTACATAGACCAGACTGGCCTCGAACTCACAGAGATTCCCCCGCCTCTGCCTCCCGAGTGCTGGGATTAAAGGCGTGCACTGCCATGCCGTGATAAAGTTTTTAATCCTGTAATTTTAATTGTGAAGAAGCAGTCAATGCACACAAACTCTGGTTGTTCTGATCATAAAACACTGTGCAGTGTGTCACCTGTTCTCACGTCCTGAGAAAGCCAACGAAATTAAACCCAAAACTAAGAAGGAAAAAAACAGGCCATTTATAGTGAAAACATTGAACTAAGTGGACCCTAGTTTGAATTTTCAGAAGCAACGTGCACTATTTTCCTCCATAAAGGCTGGAAGATCCCTCCTTGGGTGTCAAATTCTTTAGCTCCTTTGTCCTGTTCTGTGTTGGTGTCTGGTTTTCCACTCCATCCGGTCACAGACACGGCAAGTTGCTTCACTGAGGCTCCACCAAGAGCTGTGGCTGACACTTAGGCTGGCTGAGGGCAAGGGCTGAAGTGGCCGTCACAGAACACTGACAGCCCTCTCCCTGCACAGGAGTTGGAGGAGCCTTAGAGAATGATGATCCGTCCAAAATGGTGATGGTTCTGGCTGCCACTAACTTCCCATGGGACATCGATGAAGCTTTGCGAAGGAGACTGGAGAAAAGGATCTACATCCCTCTCCCAACAGGTATGATGCCTTCCTCTTACTGGATCTGGAACTTCCTGTCATTTCCTGTTAACCCTTCTCTATTTATTTATGTAAATCTCTGTCTCACTGTCACTTTGTCTGCAGAGCTCTGTGGCATTAGGCGGCCAGTCCGAGGGACGGAAGCAGGCCTTGTGACCACTTTGCATTTCAGAGAAACCCTTAGCCTCACAGCAGTATTTGTGCTGATGAGTTTGGTAGCACTCGGGTTCTTACTTCTAAAATTGGATTTCATTGACCCTAATTTAAATAGTAAAAAGTTGTCTTGGGGAACTTTCAAAAGTGATTTTCTCTGGAGTGTTGAAATTTTCTTAAGCTGTTTTTATTTTTTCCTTTGTGATAAATATGTATAAGTGAGAGGTGTATGTCTTGTGTATTATGATTGGATGAGTTCTCTGAAGTGTGTTGTCAAGTTGAATCAGTGTGGTATCCTAGACAGGCTCTGGGAACTTCTGTCACCCAGAAGGCTTCTGGGTGCCTCAGTAGTTCATCTAAATCTCGGTTGCATAAGCGATTTGCCTTGTCCTCCATCACCACAGACCAGTTTCTCCCTTGCTGAGCTTTGTGTAAACAGTGTGGTGACAGCATACAGTCCGTGTCTGGTGGCACTCGTCCTGCAGAGCGTCTTTGAGATTTGCACACGAGTGCACCTGCCAGCTTTTTCTTCTCCGTGTGATGATGTCACTGTGTGCTGATTCCCCTGCTGATGGGCCCAGGAGTTGCTTCTAGTTTTGGCTCTTCAGAGTAGAGCTATAAAGCTTATACATATTTTTACGGATGACTGTTTTCAGGTCTCTGGATAGGATGAATGGGCCAGCTCAGTCGTTGGGGAGGTGTATGCTTAACTTTATAAGACTGGTGCCCTGCCCACCTCTAGCCAGGCACCTGTACTGCCCTTTCTAAGAGAGACCCAGCTGACTCCGGGGTGGCTGCGCATGCCTGCCTGTAGCTGCTGTGGCCGGTGTATCCGTTTGACTTGCTCTGCTCGGTGTGAAATGCATCTCGTTATGGTCAATTTGTGCTCCTCTGATGACGTATATCTTGAGCACCTTTTCAGGAACTTATGTAGTGTGCCCCTCATTTTATACTATTTAATGTTTTATTAATACTTTATATAAATTCTCTTTACTTACATTTTTATAATTTTCCTTCCAGTTTGTAGTTTAGTTTCAATTTTCTTAATATTATTTCTTGATAGCCAAAGTATTTTAATTTGGCTTTAATTTGTAAAGACCTTTTTTGAGGTTTTTTGTTTTGTTTTTTATTAGTAGGGTTTCCTGTATCTTAGGAAGTATCTGCTTACCCCTAGGCTGTAAAGCTTTCTTCTTCTGTTTACTTCTAGAAACTATATTTAGCTCTGTGATTCTCCTTGAATTAATTGTATGCATGGTAGTGGGGTAGGCTTTTATTTTTCCATGTGTATATTCAGTTCTAGTACCATTTGCTGAGAGGAATTTTCTCAATTCATAGAAGTCTTAAAAACTGGCATCTTGCAGAGTATATTCCTGATAGTAATGGAATTGAATTAGGAACTAACAATAAAGTATGTAGACTACCCCCAGTATTTTACTGCTGAACAAGTTAGCTCTGGATAACAGAAGAACCAAAGAAAATTTGAAAAATTGAAAATATTATCTTGGTAGAAAGAATATGTCACACTGACTATTGTGATATGAAGCCGACATAGTTGTTTTAAGGTCTGTAAATGTGTGTGTTAAAAAAGTTTGAGTAGGTCTATGTTAGCCTTGAAACAAATGAAACAGAAATTAGTCTCAGTACGTAGGAAAAATAAATTAGAAAAATGTAAGTGAAATATGAAATAGAATAGTAACAAGGCAAACGTTTGTTTTTTTAAATGAATATTGACAAATCTCTAGAGGAATAATGAAGAACAGAGATCAGTTACCAGCGTTAGGCATGAAGGAGTCATCACCACAGCTCTTACAGACAGCAAAGGAAATGAAGTAACTCCAGATGATGTCAGCTGAGTGAAAGAGGACCCTCCCTGAGTGCTCTTCATTGCAAATCTCCATCAGTGGAGACCATGGAAGTCATTGGGGTGAAAGAGTCACAGCATTAGCACTTAAAGAAGAAAGGCCTCAACTCAGCCCTCTGTTTCTACTTTCAGAAAAGGAGAAAGTTAAACTCAAAGAATAATCTACCTGCACCACAGTCTAGTGAGCCGGAAATCAGTGCCCTGGGCAGTTTTCCTGAAGGCCGAGTATTAGATGCAGACACACGCTCCACTCCTCTCTTTCCTCCCTGAGGAGCTGTGCAAGTGTTTCTCCAAGGTGCCAGAGGTTGTGGCAGCCCTCAGGCCAAGGTGTGCCGATTCTTCCTCTGTGCCGGGGCCTGGGCCAGCAGTGCTGGGATGCTGGAATGTGGGCACACACCTCCCTCTTCTCATTCCCTCCCAAGGGGAAGCTGCAAGTTGGCCTTCTTCTCCTGGTCTCTAGGAGCCGTTAGCCTGGGGAAGAACTGATTGCAGAGCCAGGCGACATTTCTTACCCATTTCCACAAAGTGCACACTACGGGCGTACCTGGTTCAATGGCTTGCTAGCTGGCTTCTGAGCCGTGGTCATCAGGAGGAACAGCATCTGGGGCCTCTTCCCTGTGCTGCTGGCACTCTGCGCCTCTGTTTTTACGTGATGTCAGCTGTCATTCATATCACTGTCCTCTTGTATGCTGAGGTGTGTCTTTCCCTCTCTGGTTAATTCTTTGCTTTAAAAAATCAGTTTTCCTGAGGAAAAGCTTAGATACAATAAACTTAATCCACATAAGATTCTGAGCTATGGCAGCTGTATACCGCCATGCAACCACACACCAAGAAGCAAATGCACCTTGTCCTCCTGAAGAGGCTTCTGGAGCCCCGCTTCCCTGTCTGTCTTCCTCACACCACCACCTGAGCTGACGTGTCCTTTGTTTGTTTCGCTGTGTGAACATGTCACAGACTGTCTCCTCCCCACTGACATCAGACTGTCTCCTTCCCACTGACATCAGACTGTCTCCTTCCCACTGACATCAGACTGTCTCCTTCCCACTGATATCAGACTGTCTCCTTCCCACTGACGTCAGACTGTCTCCTTCCCACTGACGTCAGACTGTCTCCTTCCCACTGACATCAGACTGTCTCCTTCCCACTGACGTCAGACTGTCTCCTCCCCACTGACTGACATCAGACTGTCTCCTTCCCACTGACATCAGACTGTCTCCTCCCCACTGACATCAGACTGTCTCCTTCCCACTGACATCAGACTGTCTCCTTCCCACTCACTGACATCAGACTGTCTCCTTCCCACTGACTGACGTCAGACTGTCTCCTTCCCACTGACTGACGTCAGACTGTCTCCTTCCCACTGACTGACGTCAGACTGTCTCCTTCCCACTGACATCAGACTGTCTCCTTCCCACTGACATCAGACTGTCTCCTTCCCACTGACATCAGACTGTCTCCTTCCCACTGACGTCAGACTGTCTCCTCCCCACTGACTGACATCAGACTGTCTCCTTCCCACTGACTGACATCAGACTGTCTCCTTCCCACTGACATCAGACTGTCTCCTTCCCACTGACATCAGACTGTCTCCTCCCCACTGACATCAGACTGTCTCCTTCCCACTGACATCAGACTGTCTCCTTCCCACTGACATCAGACTGTCTCCTTCCCACTGACGTCAGACTGTCTCCTCCCCACTGACGTCAGACTGTCTCCTCCCCACTGACTGACATCAGACTGTCTCCTTCCCACTGACATCAGACTGTCTCCTTCCCACTGACGTCAGACTGTCTCCTTCCCACTGACGTCAGACTGTTTCCTTCCCACTGACTGACATCAGACTGTCTCCTCCCCACTGACTGACATCAGACTGTCTCCTCCCCACTGACATCAGACTGTCTCCTTCCCACTGACTGACATCAGACTGTCTCCTTCCCACTGACATCAGACTGTCTCCTTCCCACTGACTGACATCAGACTGTCTCCTTCCCACTGACATCAGACTGTCTCCTTCCCACTGACGTCAGACTGTCTCCTTCCCACTGACATCAGACTGTCTCCTTCCCACTGACTGACATCAGACTGTCTCCTTCCCACTGACATCAGACTGTCTCCTTCCCACTGACATCAGACTGTCTCCTTCCCACTGACATCAGACTGTCTCCTTCCCACTGACATCAGACTGTCTCCTTCCCACTGACATCAGACTGTCTCCTTCCCACTGACATCAGACTGTCTCCTTCCCACTGACATCAGACTGTCTCCTCCCCACTGACATCAGACTGTCTCCTCCCCACTGACTGACATCAGACTGTCTCCTCCCCACTGACTGACATCAGACTGTCTCCTTCCCACTGACATCAGACTGTCTCCTTCCCACTGACTGACGTCAGACTGTCTCCTTCCCACTGACTGACATCAGATTGTCTCCTTCCCACTGACGTCAGACTGTCTCCTTCCCACTGACATCAGACTGTCTCCTTCCCACTGACTGACGTCAGACTGTCTCCTTCCCCGCTGACGTCAGACTGTCTCCTTCCCACTGACATCAGACTGTTTCCTTCCCACTGACTGACGTCAGACTGTCTCCTTCCCACTGACATCAGACTGTCTCCTTCCCACTGACTGACATCAGACTGTCTCCTTCCCCGCTGACGTCAGACTGTCTCCTTCCCACTGACGTCAGACTGTCTCCTTCCCACTGACATCAGACTGTCTCCTCCCCACTGACATCAGACTGTCTCCTTCCCACTGACATCAGGCTGTCTCCTCCCCACTGACGTCAGACTGTCTCCTTCCCACTGACTGACGTCAGACTGTCCTCCTTCCCCGCTGACTGACAACAGACTGTCTCTGGTTTAAGGCCATTGTGAATGAGGCTGCTGTGAGCATTGGTGGTTGGTTGGGTGGCAGATGCTCTAGTCTCTTCTGCATCAATGCTGAGACGTGATATGGTGGCACCGGTGTCGCTGTAGCAACGGGCCGC